AGTTCAATATACGTTGTAACGTTGTTCTTATGTGAGTGTAATAATACTTTTAACTCGATAAGAATATGACTATTTTCTCTGACATCGACTCAACATGTTTATTAACACATAGTCGAGGTTAATCAGTTCAATTTACGTTGTAACGTTGTTCTTATGTGAGTGTAATAATACTTTTAACTCGATAAGAATATGACTATTTTCTCTGACATCGACTCAACATGTTTATTACACATAGTCGAGGTTAATCAGTTCAATATACGTTGTAACGTTGTTCTTATGTGAGTGTAATAATACTTTTAACTCGATAAGAATATGACTATTTTCTCTGACATCGACTCAACATGTTTATTACACATAGCCGAGGTTAATCAGTTCAATATACGTTGTAAAGTTGTTCTTTTGGTGGGCGAGTTGTTTTAAATTATTTGGCGAAAACAATTCGAAGTCCAGTCCAGGTAACGATGACAAATTAATTTATTGTTCTAAGTTTACAGATGGTGTTCAAACGGAAATACCTCACTAATGGTACTACACTAATTTAAAATTAAACTAACTTGTATAATTTCACGGCTGATCGATCGAGTAAGTGAATATATGCGATAAACTAACACTGATCCTAATATTTTATTGAAACTAGACACTTCACTGTTCTAAACTGACTGATTCAATACTCATTCACTATTCATCACTCTCGAACTAACTGTTTACTCATATTTATACCCGTAGCCTAGTGTCTAGGCACTTCACAAAGCCTCTCGATCACTACTATTCCAGAATATTCTATGACTTGCTTGATCTTAACGTCATGCGCCCTCTATTTAACACCTCAATTACAACATTAAAAATATAGCTTCTAGCAAAAAACACTAAAGATTACATATACATCTTAATGTCATGCGACCTCTAGCTAATATCTCAGTTACAACATTGAAAATATAGTTTATAGCAAAAAACACTAACGATGACATATAAATAAATAATAGTTGTATTAGATAACAAAAAATAAAGAGAAAAACCATAGTTTCATTTTACAAAATATTGTTGCACAATACCAAGTAAACCTTTATAACTCACAATCTCGATAATATCGCTCTCGACGAGTGCAAAACACACACTTTACGGCTCACTAGCTCAAAACTAACAGAATTACACGGAACTCAAAGTAACTATTGCTCTCTCTTCGTTAATTTCTGCTGGCTTTCATCTGTCAGGCTTATATATACTAACGAAGATGGCATCTCGAGCACACTCGGTCACGTGACTTCTGCTGTGATTTATAGC